TAAAACATGTAAGAGTAAGTTGGGCAACATCGACAATTATGTAACCTACGCCACTTCGCTTATTACAGTTATTCGCTCGTTTTGATAAAAGTAGACATTATTTTCATGATTAGAATCTCTTTTCATATAAGAGCTTGCTTTTCTTGATAACGCCTATGTAGACCTAGGTGATCTAAATTACATAGCATTAATTTTTTTGCTCAAACGCTACTATGAATTAATTGCCATGGTAAACATTAAGCGTTTTTTTCAAAGAACGTACTACACATGAGATATCTTATATGGATTGGGGTCAAGAAATAAACCCATCTGGTTCATGAGAATCTTTATATGCGATGGTATCCAAAAAATAGACCAACGTGATTCAAATTCGCTAAGGTTGATTTTTTTTGTCAATTTACTATTATGAGCCAATTTTCACCTTTTCACCATATAAAGCTTCCATTTCCGCAGGAGAGGTTATATGAGAGGTGGTTGAAATAAGTGCTCCAACCGGTTCAAAGTTTCACAGCTATTTAGAATGCCGAAATACTACTACTTACCCATATAACGATTTTTCAGAATAGCTCATTATATGGGGAGTGATCGGAAAAGTGGGACAATCCAAAGCATTTTCAATAGTGTTGGTCTTTGGTTCAGTGTAACAAATTTCATAAAAATATCTAAAAAATTGCGATCTATAGCTTGAACACAAATTTATACGGAGAGACATTAGACGGACGAACAGGTTTAGATCGATTCAGTCAATAAAATAGCCCTTCTGCATGGTACGTACGTTCGCGCTAACTTAATATACCCTGTATCATATGTTGTAGGGTATAAACAAGCAGTACACTATTGTAAAACGGCCTAGTACTTGAATTTCTGATGCCTACTTATAAGGGCAATTATACGCTGTTTCTGTTTTTGCAAATCAATTATCGATTGATGATTTAACTGCGTGGTAATCGTCCAAAGCCTTTTTGTTATCTACACTTTACATTGTAGAGCGTCAAAGTTTAAGAAGCGCATTTAGAAAGCTCTTCAATAATATGCTGGCATTAATAAAAGCTTGATTGTAATAAAAAAGCTTTTAATTTATCATTTCTTTGAGAAATGACAGTACATTACAGCGTTATATTGATTTTTCTTTCATGCTTTCCTAACAACAAGTTTCTCGCTTAAGTCTTTTTCCGATCTCTACTACTATCGAAGATATTTAAGCAAAATATATTATAGTAATCGTTTCGACGATTAGACAGAAGAAAAACACTATTGAAATTTGAAGGTCGTTTAGATCTTTTTTTTTATTATTTTCAGACGAAAACACTTACCCACCCACACACACACCCATCCACCCACCCGCATACACGCATGCATACAGGAACATATTATACATGCGTTTGTACTAAAAACTTTTATTTTCAAAGCCTTAAGCAGCAATTTACGAAATAAATATAAAGTAGACAAAACGACGATGTTAACCGACAGCCAACGATCGGTAACTTTTCAGGAAAAGTTACTGTGACCAAAAAGCCGCAGACACATTTTAACGTAACTTACCAATCAGTTGAATTTTGTCTGAACGTAGAGAAACTGCAATTACGGGTACATAAGAAAAAATCACAAAAATACCAAAAAAAAAAAAAAGAAATGAAAAAATATTAAAAACATGAAAAGCGTAAAATAAAGCAAAATAGTTAGTGCACGGAAATTTTTAGCCAATAAAGAATATTAAAAACAAATTATCTATAATGATAATTAGTTAATAAATACAAAAAAAAAAAAAAAAAAACGTGAAAATTTCATTAAATTAGTTAACCAAAAAAAAAAAATAAACTACATATATAGAAAATAAAAAAAAAAATAAAGTTTACAAGTATGTTGAAAAATATTCAAAACTTGATTTAAAAGATATTTTTTGTTTGTTTTTATTGTTGTGGCTACTTTTTAAGCAAAATATTGGTGAAAGTTTCTGATAACTGGGTTTAAAAGAAAAGAAAAAAAAAACCTTTTTACTTTTGTTTTTTTTATTTTGCATTTCGATAAAAGCCAAACTTAATTAAAAAGTCTAACTTTTTACGGCTG